ATATAAGGTAGGCAGAAGATTTGTCTCGAAAACAACCTAAGTAGCAACCAAACACTGGAGGATGTTTGGGTTTTTTTTTCTTTTTTTTTTTTTGGGGGGGGGGGCAGTGGGGGGTGGGGGGGTGGGTAGATTCACTCTAACGGGCTTGCATATATTCCTCACAATTTTATTTGTTGCAATAGTGGCATCTAATCTCTGAGACCCGTTCCTGAGGTGGTGATCCTGTTGATTACTGGAATCATTAGGTATCATGAACCTGCCACGAAACTGCTTAACCGTAGTAAGAATTGTTATATAGATTCACATAATCTTATATTCAGTATATATAACAATTTTTACAGAAAATTTTAGCAACTTACGTCTATCTCTAAAATTTCTGGAATACTCGTCATAGATGAAGGAACAATCATCGGTTCATACCCACCCCCCCAACCCCCCACCTGCTTTCCCCCCAAAAAAAAAAAAAAAGAAAAAAAAAAAATAAACCCAACATCCTCCAGTGTTTGGTGCTACTTTATGTTGTTTCGAGACAAATCTTCTGCTACCTTATATTCTTATTGTTTTATTTAAGAATAACGACATATTGTATTTATGGAGGATGTTTCTTGGACAGGTAACAGCATCTGCTTGGCTGAATGACCTAAGAACTCAAATTGAAAGAACTAGAATTCTAAGCACTGTTTACCGTTCTGCCTCTGCCTTGGGGTCACGTCTTCCAACAATTGCCAGTGCCAAGGCTAGAGTAGCTGGGGCAGGTGCAATCCTCCGACCGGTCTCCAGTGGAACACAGGTAACTTTTATCTGCTTTTTAAAATTTGTTCGTGTATCACATTTGCTTTTGAGTAGACTAGGAAAAGATGAGCGTCTGTCACATATAACTAATGAAATTAATAAATTATGCTCGTAAGAGCATATTATGTGGATTTTAACTAGTAGGAAACAGAAATACTTTTTTGGGAGTTCAAACATTCTCCCTCCTAAATCGAGCTACTTGCTGTCTCCTAATGACTTAACCTGTTTATGTTAGCATGCTCCTCTATAAACTGACAAAATTATATATGAATTAACTACCTCGGATATTAGAGTATAAATGGATTGGATATGGGGAATGTATGCATCATCATATCTGTATTTGTTTTCTTTTAGCATATAAGGATGTAAATCCAACTAATGATCAGAGGTATTGCTATGCTGCAATTACATAATGACCCAGATACACCAAATATTGTAATTTTGAGCAACTTTTTATATATGAAAGGTGGGCCATATGAATAATGAAATAAATAATTGTACTAGGGATGGGAATGGATAGGGTGAGATCTCATCTTATATACAAATTCCTTTTAACATTATCGTAATAGGTGAGGCATATGTTATAATTACCCTACACCATGGTGTAAAGGAATTTTTCTTTAACCTTTAGTGTAAACTGGTAAAATGGTAAAATTTAAAAAAGTGTTGATTGCACATAGACCCCTGTAGTATCATTGTTTTGAACTTACTTACCCATATAGTTTCATTGTTGCAGATAGGCCTGGGTTAAAAATTTGACTCTTTTAACCTTCAAATAAGCTCACTAATTTCTATCAACTTTCATGTAGGGTAAAAGAGTAAAAATTTGACCAACTGAGTTCAACCTGCATCAATGAAATTATAGGGCTAGTAAGTGCGAAACAGCAATACTACAGGGGTCTATGTGCAATTAACCCTTATATATATCATATTTAATAAAGTTTCTATTTAATATATATATATATATATAACTATATATATAGTTGAGAGAGTAGAGAGAGAGAGAGCAGAGTAGAGACGAGAGAGAATTAGGAGTACTGGCTTGGTACCAAACACAAATTTGTCGTGCTTCGGTAGTGTACGGCTGGCCACAATCCCCTCCACCTCATTCACAATGGAGGGCACCACATTCATCATGCGCGCTTTGAGGAATGCCATGGGGATATGCAATCATTTTGAAATGATGAAGCGGGGATTATGTCCACCTCATTAGCACAAGCACAACTTTTTGTGCTTCGGCGTACCAAGAGTACTCATTTTTCTGCCATTATATATATATATACATATTATATATATCACTATATATATATACTATATATATATACATATAATATATATGATGAAATACTGGAGTAACCTATTGGTACCAAAGTTTGCTTTAAAACAACTTGACGTAGTTGATTGTGGTCCTAATCCTTGCCCCTAACATCAACAGCCTTTGAAAGACTGAGAACCGCAATCAAAAACCGACCCTTCACCAACTTCAACTGTAGATGTACGGGAACAAGATTAAGGGCCACACTCATCCAAGTTGTTTTGGAGCAACCTTGGCTCACAAGTTTCTCCCATTTCTCTCTCTCATACTCTTCTCTCTCCTCTCTATATATATAATATTACTATATATATATGATATATATCATTATATTATACTAGTATTTGAACTCTATATGCAACTTGTTAAGTGGACACCAAGTCTTTATCCACCAAGTTTCTATTCATCACTTTAATATCAGATATAAAAAAGTCCATTTCCATATCATTGCACAAGGATCCCCTACTGGCAACATGAGTAGATTAGAAATTTTGGTGTGACCACTCCACCTTAAGTTAGACATCTAGGTCTTTTCTCTCTCTCTTCCTCTCCCTCTCTCTCTCTCTCTCTATATATAAGTGTATATATATATATTATTATATATATATTATATATATATATTACATATTATATGAGATAACTGCCAGTATCCTGTCATAGGAGGGGATTCCCTTCCTATGACGCCCTCTTAAAATCACCAGATGACGATTAATTGAGGATCGATCCGCTCCGTATGACTTTGATCCATTATTCCTAATAACCCCAACATACGCAAGTTTGGGATGAACATCCGCTCGTCGTCTTGACCGCTCCATCGAGCCTATGTGAAAAGTCCTCTACTTCATTTCAAAACCGTTAAAATTGCATACGAGTGATGAAGGCGTCAAACGACGACTGGTCATCCCCAACTTAGGGATGTTGGGGTTTTAGAATATTGTAATCCAAGCTTCAACGGAGGCGGATCACCATCCAATGTCGCTCAAGTCATGTGATTTTGAGAGGCTCATAGGAGGAAATCCCCTCCTACATGCACAACGAACCCATTAATCTCTCTCATCTTCCCTCTCTTCCTATATATATATATATATATATATATATATATATATATATATATATATATATATAAACATACTTGTTTTATTTCTTTTCCATATCTGGTTAAGTTTTGTACCTTTGTTTTAGGTTGTGATGAATAGAGCGCGGAATGTGGCTCAGGCTGCATGGAACCAACGGATTTCTTCTTGGACATGCATTGGACCTCGGCAACGCCCTAATACCTCCAAATCAGAGGAAAATGGTGCTAGTTCCTCTCCAAGTGCTGGCCCTATTAGCCCTTCAACCACTGAAACCCGAAGTATACAAAGAACAGAGGTTATCGCGTCTGCAGGAAACACAGGATGGACTTCAGAAGTAGAGTGCTCTCCTTCATCTTCATCACCTTATCACTCTCAAGAGATTGAGATTGATGATGAAGATACCATGAACGAGGTGGAGCTGTGGCAGCAGATAGAGCATGAGCTCAATCAACCAAGAAATGAAGAAGAGGTTGTCGATGATGAAGATGAGATGGTGAAAGAGGCCAGAGAAGAAGAGGAGGATGAGATTGCTGCTGCCTCTGAAGCAGTTGACAATGTATCTATTGAAGCAACGACAGAGATGCGTAGATTTTTTCCTGCTGGGAGAATCATGCACATTGTGCCCATTCCTCAAGAAACTGAAAGCGAGGAAGAGAAAGATGGAGACGATGATGATGGTGTTGAGAGAACTCCAAGGCTGCCAAAGTTTCGGATTTTTTTGACGCCGAGGTCTTTGTATGGTAAATTGAGGCTCTCAAGGACAATGATTAATGATCATTATATGCCGATGTACAGGAGGAATATAGAGCTAGCAATTAATGATCTTGAGAAGGATAGTTTGTCGGTGGAGGGGTGTGAATTGTGATGTTGGGTTTGTAGCTTCTGTATATTGTATACTGATGGATAGTAGGATTTTTGGCGCTGGTGCTTTTGGTATTCTGGATGTATCTCAGGAGAAAAAAAATGTGCAACTGTTGGAAAAATAGAGAGGAAAATGATCAGAGTAACACATCGATGTGAGGAAAGAAATTAGTCAGATTCCAGCACAACAGGTGTGTTTGTCTTCATTATTGGCGGTGGTGTTATTATTATTATTATTATTATTATTAGTGTGGCGAAAGGCACTAGTTTAAGTTGAAAATGAGCATTCACGATACTGTTCAGTTTTTGCACGAGTGACCGCGGGATTTAAGCACAGTCTTCTTCTGTTGAATATGTTTCGATTAATGGTCTGTGATCGATCTTGCATGCCCAATGGTGGCATACCACTCGGTGATCGATCTTTTTTTCCTTTTTTAAAATTCTTTTAGCAGATGAAACGAAAATTTCTCTCATGTAATTATGTAAGCAAGCAAAATATTGATTTACTGCAGCATGATCCTAAATCCCCTTCGCTCATTTATTTTCTTCATGACAGGGTTACAAATTTAAAAATATTACTCATGACTCCAACAATATTCTGAAATTGCCGCTAGCGTGTATACTTTGCACATTGTATTCTTATGTTATTTTCACTTCTTTTTTCCTTGGGACAAAGACATTCCATTAGAACACTTGTCCAAAAGAAAACTGTTTTCCTTGTGCATCAACGCTTGTAAGAACTACAACCTCTAAGTCACACACTTGTAACTTTTTAAAACTTCAAATTTATACCAACAATATGCACCAGGGATGTCAACTGCTAGATCACTGGATTTTGGTATTCATGCATAAATCTAGTGGTTGAAGTTCATTTAATGTACATTAAATGTCATGAACAATCTCTACAGGATACTTTCTCTGATGACCAAATATGGTAATGAAAAGATGGAGTGTTAAGCTTCCTCGTTTATGTGGTAGCACTGTAGGTAAGCAAGGGGTTAATATTGTGTCGTACGTTTGTAACTTTATACCATGCATGTGGTTAATGGTATGATTTTGAAAGCGAGTTTGTAGTTTTACTTTTATCTGCATATATAGAAGGCCGCCATGATAATGAACAAAGGCGAAAGAAGTAGAGACAGTAATTTCTTTTTTTTGCATATAGTAATAGGAAATTTATAATACATAAAGAGTTAGAATATACATTAAAAAAATTATTTTTTTATTTATTGTTAGTTAAAGTAATATTTTCTTTTCTTTAAGCATTCAAAAATATATAAAATTTATGTAGAATGATCCTAAATTTGTATAACAAATTTAATTTTTTTCATGACAATTATTATTAATGGCAGAGCCAGAAATTTTCAGTGAGGGAGTTCAAAATTTTATTAAATATGGTAACATATAATTTTTTTTTTTGCTTGCTTATTAGCATAAAAACATCATCACAAAGTAAGTCTTCGAAATTACATTTTAAATTAGAATATAGGGTTTAGAATCGTTTTTCTTCCCTTCATTTCTTAAAATTGTTTCATGGCATCTTCGTCGTCAACCGTGGTGGATCCAAGATTTATACCGGTAGTGTCTCCATGTGATTCATCATGATTGTATTTGGAACATATATTGATAATTCTACATTTTTATTCTCCTTAATGGTACTCTATGCTAATTCTAGTGGTGTTCTAAATGGTGACAAATCTAAAAATGAATAAAAAGACGTATAAAGTAGGCAATCTACTGGTGTCTTATGCACCACTTTGCCACTGCTCATCATTGTTACAAAATATTTTTTTTTCTCTCGATATAAGGCAATAAACAATCGTTCATATACTCCTCTATCTTTGGGTTTTGAATGTAATTCTTAATAATTGCCAAAAGTACACTTTCAAGACTTGTCGTTGACACCAGCAAGATTATGTCTACTTCACCAACTTGTGCATCGAAAAATATTAAGTATCCATCTTCCATTCTATCAACTTCTTAGCAAGTTTACCAATCTCTTGAATTAAAAAAAAATGTTGAATGACTAAATAAGAGATTTATTTACCAAGTTCATAAATTCAGTGCGATCTATTTTAGAAAATCTTTAGGACGAAACTTGGATAGTTGAATCAAATTTTCCTTATCAAACAAAAAAAAAATTTAATTATTTAGTTCAAGGCACATGCCACGCAAAAAAGCAATTTTATATTACAATTATCAAAATGAATGTTCAATCCTGGACATCAAAATTTATAGGTGTATTCAACTGGACACGAAGAGAAAGGAATAGTGAGGATTAAGTTTGAGAAAGTTAAATTATCTTATGCATTTTACTCCTAAATCAAGTGTTATTAGCAAATTAAGCCTATAAATTTCTTTTTTAGTAGTCTAAAAGTCAATCCCTTGATATTGATAGTGCGCATAGAGCTCGTATGCTATTACGTTGTGCCAATTATTACCCCTTGATATTAGTACTAGCAAACACTTAGTACTAGCAAACACACCTTGCGATGATACAAGCGGACTACGCTTTTCTTTAATTGCGCTCAGTTGTAGGAGGGCCCCAATGCCAATATCAGACTACGGGTACTTAAGTGACAACAACATAGAACAGGGTCTGTGTGGGATTAAAAAACTTAAATTATTATATCAAGAGTAGTAACCAACGTTGAGAAGTTTTCAAGAGTTAGCAATTGACCCTACCCCGTTTCTCATTCTCCGCTCATTTATCCAAATCGGCAGAGAACATCATTTACATATATATACGTTTCACCAGAAGACAGAAAACAGCAGTAGGAAGGAAACTGAAATCAGCAGCATGAGACGCTTCTCAGGTTTGGGGTTCACCTCAAGAAGTATTTTCATAATAGATAAAAACAATAATCGAGTTATCCTAAAGCCACATAAAAGAAAGCCATACAATTTGAAGAAGGGTTACAGTCTCTTCTTAATCACGTTCACTAATCGCTGTCAGGTGCTCATCAATCTCCTCTGTGGATAGCACTTTAAAAACTGGGTCGTCTTTCTTCACGACTCCAACCTAGCAAGCAGAAGCCCAGGAAGAACAGCATAAGAACGAAGAAACGTGTCTAGATGCAAATAACGAATACATTTCTGAAGGCAATTGGCCGAGAACCAAGAGGCTGTTTGTTTCACGAAAAAAGTTGCAAAATGACAGTCACAGTAGCAAACGTTAGTTTTAGTTACAGCTCTAGTTAAGGAATAGCTACCTTTCGCAACAGGGGGGGCAAAAGGCAATCAATTTAATCAGAAGTTTTTCAGGTTGACTTTATTTGCAATTGTGGTACAAAATTTTATAATTGTAGCGAAATAAACAACCACAACTGAAATTACTGTTGGGTTCGATTAATCCAACGAACCCAAGTGGCCCAACCTACTCGATTTTGGATTTGATTTAAAGTTGCCATCGATTCAAGTTAGGATCAGGATGCTAACCACATGGTCTGGTTAGACAGTTTCAAGTTTATCAAGTTGGGTGGTTATCTTGAACATCTAAAGGATAGGATCAATCGGAGTGTAATCCCACGGTTGTGATTAAACCATGATGGGTAGGGTTAATCACAAATATCTATATAAAGGGTGGGAGTCCCTCCTCTCAACCGTACGCAGAAAAGAGACATAATTCCCATCATTGGCTACGGGAGGAGAGAGGAGAAGACTTCCATTGTTTTCGACGGTGAACGGTAATTTAGATCTATATTTCTAGTTCAATTTTCATGCCTAGATCATCAAATTATCCAACAGTGGTATCAGAGCCTGTTTGTGCATGAGTTTTTTGATCTAGAAATAATTTTTTTTATTTTCGGATTAATTAAAAAATTAGCCAATGACATGGCCAGAAATTTCCTTTGATGGCCGTGGGTTATGGCTGATTGCCAGAAATATCAACGTTTTGCTTCTTGATAAGCATAGAGATGGAAAGATTGCTCTTGCAGATCTAGAATTAAAAAAAAAAAAAAAGAAAAGAAAAGAACCATAGCCCTTTTGTCTTTGTGCTGGAAAGATTCCTTTTTGTTTGCCATCAAGCTGCAGCCATGGCCAGCGAACAAAAGTTATAAAAAAAAAAAAGGAAAAGAAAAGAAAAAGGAAAGGAGGAGATCTTGCTGCTGTGTTTTTGTTTGCCATGGCCATGGTTGATGCAAAACCTTGAATTATAGGACTGTAATTATTTCAATCATGGTGGCGGCAGATATCTTGGGTCAAGTGGAATTAGGGTTAGGGTTTTAATTAGCATTATAATTAATTAATTACTCTAATTTTTTATTTAATTAAATTTCCAAACCCGACCCATTAATTTCCAGACCCGACCCATTACAGTTTTGACCATTCATTTTGTTTTGGTCGTTATAGATCCGTTTTAAGTCCGTTTTGAGCCCATAAATAGTCGTTGGAAAGATTATTCTGTGTACTTTTCAACTATACAGTTTTTTATTTTCATTTCATAAAGTTTTAATACAGGAATTTGGATAATTCATAAGGATTATTGTATGCACGTAAAGATAATTGATTTACCCTGATTATATCATTAATTCAGGTGGGGGTAAATATTTGGGTTCATGATAAAACGGATTACAGTATTAGATCAACCTATGGGGTTAAGGAAGATCAGTAAAACAGTCACTTAGAAATTATGGTAGAGTAGGTTAGTGTCTTGCCCAAAGGTGACCAACCTATAATACCCTAATTTTCTAAGGTTGAGTTTACTCTCATTTGGACTGGAAGGTTGCACTTATCTGTGGGTGGACTACTAGTCTTGCCCAAAGGTGTCTAGGAAATCCCCTACAGGATAAGTGGTGCAGGATAGTTGAAACATGTCAGTGAGAGGAGAATAACCCTATTGCCCAAAGGTTAGGAAGTGTTCAAATCAAACTGACACTGTGTAGGCTAGTTCTGTAGGTGATTATATATCACATTTGGGGGGCGAATAGCATGTCAAATCACTTGCCCAAAGGTGTGATGAGATGATGCACCCGCCTGTCCCGCAGAGTGGAAGGTTGCATACGTAAAACACTCTGACCCATCCATTCTAACCCTAAATTGGATGTGGAAATATTAAAGTTAATTAAATTAAAGGTCTCATTTGATTTATATGTCCATGGTTTAATACAGATGGACGGACAGTTTATCCAGAAGCGGAATGAGGAATCCGTTAGAGCGAGACAGTACAGTACAGTTTGTAGGGATTTAGTTCATGTTTGTTGTGAAACAAATTTAGTTGATGTTCCTTCAAATTCTTGGTGGATTGATTCTGGTGCCTCTGTGCACATTTCAACTTCATCACATGGAATAATCCACAGTCGGAAGGCAAGGGCAAATGAGCAGCTATTTTTGGGAAACTCACAGCCTATGAAGGTGGAGCTCGTTGGGACTTTCAGTCTGCGCTTGGATTCTGGAGTTTCCTTAGTTTTATCAGACACTTTCTACGTACCTTCTATGAGAAGGAATCTTATTTCAGTTTCTGTGGCTCGGCCTTCACCGAGCCACCTCAGGGTGGCTCGGCTTGGGCCGAGCCACCCTGGGGTGGTTCGGTTTCGGCCGAGTCCCCGGGTGTTTGTCCGTTTCGTCCTTTGTTTCCGGTTCTGGTTCTCTTGTGTGGTTGAT